ATTGTGATTTATGTAAAATCTGACAGTTAAATGAAATATCTAAATGTATGGTAGAGTCTTCTAAAATTTAATTGAAAACATATTATGACGAGTTGAGTTAGAGCATTTTTGAAATACAATTGTTTTGGTGACACATTTCCACCATTATGGATCAAATTAATGTAATTTTATTAATGTTATTTTTAAATCTCCGTGACTTAAGAGGTAAGCAGATTTGACCAGTCTCGCACCTCTTCTTTATCTAGAAACCTGACGCAGATGCATTTATAATACATTGTTTCCAGTTTAGGATATTGAATGGTGATCTTCTTGACTCAATTCTATCTCATGGTAGCATAATTACCCTATTTCAAAGTATGAACATAGAATTAATTAAAATTTCAGAATGGTTTAAATTAAATAAGCTTTCTCTTAACATTGAAAAAACAAAATGTTCTCTTTTTCATCCATACTACAAAAAACATCTTCTACCAAGTGAATTGCCTGCTCTTTTTATAGATGACATTCAAATTAAAAGAGTAACGGCTACAAATTTTTTAGGGGTTTTGATTGATGAAAATCTGACATGGAAAAAACATATTGAAAACTTATCCTCTAAAATTTCCAAAAGTATAGGAATACTATTTAAAATAAGAACCATGCTAAATAAACATACTTTAATTCAGCTTTACCACTCTTTTATTCATTGCCATCTAAACTATGCTAATGCGGCTTGGGGTAGTGTAAGGAAAACTAAATTAGAACCACTTTATCGCCAACAGAAACATGTTGCACGACTTATTAATATTAAACATCGATTTTATCATGCTAAGCCTCTTTTAAACGAAATGAATATTCTTAATATATATCAACTTAATATTTTTAATGTATTGTGTTTTATGTTTAAATGTAAGTCTCGCACATCTCCAATTTCTTTTCACAATTTATATTCTTTAAAAGTTAAAAATAAATACAATTTGCGTAATGAAAATTTTATTCTTCAACCAATTTTTAAAACTAATTTTGGTAAATTTTGTATTTCATTTAGAGGAGCATTTTTATGGAACAAAATAGTGTTAAAACTTTTTGATCTCTCTCTTGAATGGAACTTTTTCTTATTTAAAAGAAATTAAAAGAAATTCTTTTCTCAGTTGAAAACATTCTGATATATTTTTAAATTTGATTTGTTTTTTATTAATACTCTTAAGAAATATTTTATTGTAATTTATATATACGAAATCTTTTATCTTAACTTATATATATATGTATGTATATGTATATGTGTGTGTGTGTGTATATGTGTATGTATATATGTGTATATGTATGTATGTATGTATATATATATGTATATATGTATATATGAATATATGTATATATATATATGTATGTGTGTATGTATATTTATGTATGTACGTATATATGTATGTGTATTTGTGCGTATTATATGTATGTGTATATATATATATATATATGTATATATATATATATATATATATATATATATATATATATATATATATATATATATATATATATATATATATATATATATATATTGATGTGTAAGTATATTTATTTACATGTTTGTATGTTTAAATATGTATAAATAATTATATTTGTATTTATGTGTGAATATTTGTCTATGAATTATTAAAGGATTATTTATTATTTAAAAACTGTTTAGGCGGTTCTCGATGACAAGATCTTATGATCTTCTGCGAGTATCCGCGTTCTTGTTGTAACGTTAACAAAATTGTAATTCTGACTATACGTATTTTATTCATTCTTATATTGTAAAACTTATTTTGAATAAATAAAAAGAACAAAAAAAAAAAAAAAAAAAAAAAAAAAAAAAAAAAAAAAAAAAAAAGGCATAAATAATGCTTGTGTATCTTTTTTTATGACTAGGCAACTCATTCTATTATCTCTTAATGAGAATACAGCTCTGAAAATTAGTTTTATGGTTCTAAGGTTGGCTGGTAGTCAGGTTTTTTGATCTCTGTGGTAGTTCTCAGAAAGGCTGATTCCATCAACAGCAGAAAATTGTCAGAGTATTGACAGTGTCATGTTGTGCCGGGTGTTCTTGTTCGTACTTTTGGTGTGAGTTGTAAAAGCAACATTTAAAGCCCGTTGTTACGGCTCTGGGTTTATTAATAAAAATGAAACAATAGCTTGGAATATTATATAATGTTATGATTACTATACATGGTTTTGCTAAAGTTCTTTAACTTATTTTTTAATATGAATTAAGTACAAAAAACTATAAAACACAAAAAGTCATAGCCATTACCAAGTTCTTATAAACTTTCATTCAATAATATTCGTCGTTTTCAAAGAAACTTTTCTTTTGTTGAGTTTTATCTCTTGTAAAGATTACCAGACCTACTAGCTTTTTGTGAGACTAAATTGAATTTGCCTGTCTCATCTTGGGATCTTAGTGTTGATGATTATTTTCCTTTGTTTGTAAGGACTCCATTAGTCACACTTTTGTTTAGCACCACTTTGCTCTATAGCCTTTCTGATTGGTACATATTACTCTCCTTGAAGTCCTCTCTTCTAATCCATCAGCCAAAATCGTTGTGGTTAGCAACTTTAATGCTCATCATACTGATGATGAGCATTAAAATGACATACAATAGCTTGGCTCTAATGGCTCTTTTTCTTTCCTCAATGTCTAATTCAAATCGTAAAGTTTTTAACTGGCTTTCCAGGCGACCCAAATCATTTACCTTCTCTAATCGACTTCTCTATTCGATGTCTTTTTTACTGATCCTAGTCACTGTTTAATTTCTCTACATATATTCTTAGGTGTGTTTGATCACGGTTTTATCTCTCAGAAACTATTATCTCATTATCCTTCATCATCAGAAACCCCTCTCGGTGTACCTCTTAAAAGTACCTTTAAATACAAGCACTCTTACGTACTTTAAAGTTGACTGATTTCTCTCCGCAATTTACATTGTGATAGCCCTCTGGTAGAAATCTGTTTTATTCCTGCTGAAAAACTTGATTCTTACATAACTTCATAGATTCATGCTGACATGAAATCTTTTATTATTTCTAATCAACTGCAAGTCAAACCTTACTCTTTTCCATTGTTATCCTTACACTATGCTAATGCAATTTCTAATGGAAACCGTTAATTCAATATCTATCAGCAAAGCAGTTTTCCAGAAAACAGACTTCTTTTACTATTGATAGAATCAATTGTAAAAATACTTTGTCTAACGCCAAAGCCCGCTATTCTGACGTTATAAAACCTCCTATTTCATTACAAAAATCAGGCTCTCATGACATCTGAAGAATCTTTAACAGTATCAATAATAAGGTCAAATCTGTTATTCCACTTCTCTTCCGTGGTTTAGACTTTCTCACCTCACCTAAAAAGAAAGCTGATTTATTTACTAAAAACTTTTCATCAATATATTAATTTGATTCAACTAGTTGTGTTTTATCTGATATACCCTGAAACAGGTTGATCCGTTGTTTGATATTCGTATTACTAAAGTATCAGTATCTAAAGGGATTTTCTGCTTAGAATCTTTTACAGCCTGAGGTCCGGTCAACATCCCTGTAATATTCTTGCAAAAGTATTTTCCGGAGCTGTCCTTAATACTTTCAGAACTATTTATAAAGTGCTTATCAGAGTCTTGTTTTCCAGATCGCTCAAAGGCGACGTCTTTAATTTCTATTTTCAAAAAAATGGAGAGCCACCATAAGCAAGGTTTTTGAATCTTTCATTAACAAACATTTAATCTCTAGTAATAGTAAGTTATTACAATGTTAAATGTAATAACTAACTTTTCATCAATATAGACTTCAGTCTTTTTTTTCTACAGCTGATTTACTAACAGTAATAACAGAAAGGTTTTATTGTGTATTAGAGAGAGGTGGAGGGATTAAGGCTATTGCTTTTGACATTTCTAAAGCATGCTGGTATTCTTGAAAATCTTTCTTCTTACGGTGTATCTGGTAACGTTTTTAAGGTTGTTGAATCCTTCCTTTCCAATCGTATTATAAAAGTGATCCTTGATGGACAGCACTCTACTATACTGTTACCATATCTGTGGCGGATCTTCTAAGGTTCCCTTTTTCTTTCAGACAAGGTGCAAAAACGCATTGTAAACATAGCTGGATCTGCTCTTGCTGTCAACATCCAGCCATTATCACATTATCGTAATGTTGCTTCTCTTTTTCTTTTCTTCAAATGCTATATTTGGCACAGCTTTAAAGAGCTAGCGTCTTTTGTGCCATCTACTAAAATTTAATATATACTGTTACTTGTCATTCAATTAAGTTTCATCCATTTTCTGTGACTGTTCCTAAGAGCTCTAAAAATTCCTATTTGTTTTTTTCCTCGAACGTAAGTCCTTTGAAATTCTCTTCCTTCATCTTGCTTCCCTGATTCATATAACTTGCAATCTTTTAAGCCGTATATCAATTGTTCTTTTACTCTAAAAACCTCATCTTCTCTAATCAAGTAACTTCCAAATCTAGTTGTGGTCGCTTGCAGCCTTGTTGGAAGCTAAGATGTTAAAAAAACAGATCAAATTATATCTCTCTAAGAAACTATACAATCTCTTAAATGTAGTAGATTTCTTTTTATTTCTTAAAATTATCTTTTTTGTATGACTACCACCCTAAACTCTGTATAATGTCCTAATACTTTAATGACTTCTCAATAATGTAATACTTGTAATTATTACTATTGCATTTACTATAGTGAAAAAAACTTGATTTAAACGTACTAATTCAGAACTTGGAGTTAATTTCATGCCTAAAAATTAAATAGAAACGCCTAAAAAACTTGTAAAGATCTTTGATTATACAAGAATAAAAATGCGTGAAATCATGTCAAACCCGCAATAGAAGAATGTCAAGTTTTTTGGCTTAACATTAAAACTACAATGAATTTAATTTACATAGTAACTAATTGAATGTTTTGTTAGAGTAAAGTAAAAACTAATGTTTATGTTCAAAATACATTTTATGAAACAAATTTAAAATTAAAACTCTTTTACCTAACCATTGGTTTGGTCCTAGAGTGTGAATTTGATTATAATTGCCTTCCAAATTTATTCGCAGTGTAGAATCAATGTATCTGGAAGCGCTTTGAAACTGATTATTCGTTATGGATAACCATTTGTTATAGCTGTTGTGAAACATCATATATAATTTTTGATTACGATGAATTGCATAGAGCTCTTTTGTTAACAAGTGATGACCAAGAATTGAACCAATCTGCACATCTAGTTCTATAATACGTATTTTTACTTTACTATTATATCCCAAAAATGTCAAAAAATGTCACTTTAAATTATATCCCAAAAATGTCAAAAAAATAATAATTTTTGTAAAAACATAGGAGATTGTAAAATCTTTTTTACTAGTACTAAAAAAAACTGCTTTAGTTAAAACATAGGAAATTGTAAAATCCTTTTAACTAGCACTAAAAACTCACTAAAAACTCAACCCATTACAATTATTTACTTATAAAAAATAAACTCTGTTTCTACAGAAAATGTATCAGTCATGAGTAATAGTAAATAAGTAAAGTCTGTTTTAAGAAATGGACACATGTCTTTGTGACACAAGTTACAATTAATACTAGATAGCAACGGCTTCTTCCTGTCTCACAATTACCTATTAGATGCAAGTGCACAGTAACTTGTTACGGTTTTTAGTAGAAGAAATACCTTTTATTTTTTGTTTAAATTACCACCCTCATTACTTGTTTATTTTTTATTTACTATCTTCCTCATTCATGGTCTGCCTAGTTTATTATCTTAAAAGTTCTCAGTAGCAACGTGAAATATTTTTCAGTTTAAGTTAATTCTGGATAAACATCATATTGTAAAGTTACACCATATATAACGCAGGATAACAAAAAAATTTTTTCTAAGAAAGTTATCGTTGAGTATTATTCTAAAATTAATTTACATTACAAACCTTACAAAAAAAAAATAAAAAATCATATAGAAACAGACAAAAACAAAGTTTACATATCAATTTTAAAAATAATGTTAATGACAATTTTATTCTCTTCACTTTTTATTTTCATATACATATCAATGAGAAGAACCTATTGAGTATAAATTTATTTTTATAAAGATACTTAATATATATTAAAATGTATTGTTTGTAATAGTGATAAGACTGCTTTTTGTAACTGTAACTATGTTTACAAAAATAAAATTCATACTTTCAAAATATGAAGAATCTAATAACTAACTTTAAAGTAATTAAAAACGTTTTATATTTCAAAATTTTTATTAATACATCAATTGTATTCAACTTACCATACCACGAACTTCCATCGTCATTTGAGATATAGCATGCTACACTCGAACTAAAGTGTGTAATTAATTACAAAAATACTTTTATATATATATATATATATATATATATATATATATATATATATATATATATATATATATATATATATATATATATATATATATATATATATGTATATATGTATATATATATATATATATATATATATATATATATATATATATATATATATATATATATATATATATATATATATATATATATATATATATATATATATATATATATATATATATATATATAGTATATATATATATGTATATATATATATAAATATATATATATATATATATATATATATATATATATATATATATATATATATATATATATATATATATATATATATATATATATTTATATATATATATATATTACAAATAATAATATATTGCAAAGGAATTATTGTGCTTTAGATTTTATTAACATTTATTGGACATTTTTTTGGGTTTGAGAACAAACTCTTAAAATTTAGTTAAGAAATAAATTCTTTTAAAAATAAATAATATGGCAAATTAGTTTATAAAAACCTCGGAAAATGTTGATTCATGCAGACATAAATATTGAAGTTATATGCATCCCAATAAATTCCACGACCATAGCTTTCTAAGCAAATAGTTATAAAAAAAAGATTAAAAAATTAATTAATTAATTATTTTAACTTTTCACATAAAATGTTAACTGCAATGCACTTTTCTCATATATAAATTGTTCCTACATTTGTTTTTTTAAATATATAGCTTAAAATAATAGCAAAATTCTAATAATAATAGTATTAATATTAAAAAAAAAAAAAAAAAAAGCAGGTGTTAAATTTTCAATAAAACCTTTAAGGACTAGATTATCAACAACAACTGGAATTTTTGGATATGCAAAACATTCCACAATCTTTTTGATTGTTTTGAAGAACACTGTGTCTTTTCCAGATCCTACTTGAGTTTTTATCTTTAAAGGAATGTCAAATGTAAAAATACCAGACTTAGGACATTGAGTATCATTAAAAGTAGCAATGAAAGTAAAGTTAAATGAATCAGAAGAATTTGTAGTTATTTTAAACTAAAAAAAAACAGTACTAAAATAATTTTTTATTATTACTAAAAATTATCTTTGCAATACTTTATTCAATCATCAAGGTCATGTTAAAATTAAAATAGGTTATATAGAATTTCAGATATATACAATAATAAAACGTCAAAATTTTAATGTTTTCAAATATTTTAAAAAGTTAATTTAATTATTTTCATCACGCTAAACTTGTCAAAGTTAAAAATAAAAATTGATGATAATATTCTTGAAAAAACATTTCTAAAATATTCGTTACATGACTTACTTTATTATCAACATTATAATGACACAAATGAAAAAAAAAAAGAACCAATTATGTCAAATATTTGGTTCAAACTAAAAATTTTTTAAATTATTTTTAAATGTCTTTGCTTGCAACAACGCTGCAAACAACGAATATTAGAGTTGGAAGTTACTTGAAGAGGAAATATGAAATTTGTAGAGCAAGATAACGACTGACAGACAACTTAAAGATATGAATCAGGAACACAAAAAGAAATGAGCGAATTCCAATGTACTGATGTTCGAAGAAGAAAATAGAAAAATAGGAGTTTTCAGAGCTTTCGAGATGCAAACTTTAGAGTGTTATTAACAAACATTATGGTAGTATTATTAGCAAACAACGGCACCTTAGATGTAAGAATATCTGGAAGATTGTAAAAATAATTTAAAAAGGGTATAAGGCCGAGGATTAAAACTTGAGGAACTTCTGAAGTACAGCATAGGAAGAAGAGTGCTGTCCATCGAAGACAACTTTAATATTAAGGTTGAAAAGAACTCAATAATCCTAAAGAAGTTACTAGATACACCGAAAGAAGAATATTTATTGAGAGGACCAGCATGCTAAAATTTATCAAAAGTTTTAGAAATGTCAAGAGCGATAGCTTTAACCTCTCCATCTCTATCTAACACACAATAACTATCGGTTATTACTGTTAGCATATTAGCAGTAGAACAAGAAGATCAAAATCCAAAGTAATGATTAGAAAGTAAGTTATCAGATTCTGGATGAGAGATTTCGTGTTTGTTAATAAAAAGTTCAAAAACCTTGCTTATGATAGATAGAAGTTTAATTGGATGGTAGGTAAACGAGTCAGATTGCTCTCCAGAATTTTCGAAAATAGGAATAACAAATGCCGCTTTTAACATGACAGAAAACAAACTCCGATAAGCACTTGTAAAGTAGTAATGAAATTATGGAATACAGCGTCAGACAACACTTCTGCAAGGCTTCAACAGATATGTTGTCTGGAGCACAAGCTGTAGAATAGTCTAAACAGGACACCACTTTAGAAACAGAAGCTAGAATGATACAAATGTCAAGCAATGAATCATCTAGTTTGACTAGATGATTCATTGGCTATATCAGGTAGAACTCAATTAATGGAATCAAAAGATGATATTGATGAAAAGTTCTTAGGAAACAGTTCAGCTTTGTCTTCAAGTCAGTGACAAAGTTTGAATTGTACAAGAGTGGAGGAATAATAGATTTTCTATTATTATTGGTACTGTTGAAGATTCTACAGATGTCACGAATACTTTATTTCTGTGATGGAATACAAGATTTAATGACCTGAAAATCGCAGATTTTGGCTCTAGACAAAAATTTTTAAAATGGTTTCTAACAATATTCTAAAAACTACATTTATAAAACTGTTTTTGATCATGAAACGAACAAAAGAGATTAATTAAAAGTATTCTGGGAAAAATACTTCTAGTTATATGAATAAAAAAAACCAAAGGTCCAACATCAAGCATCAAACCAGGTAATATCAGATATAATTAATATAAACAAAAGAAAAACTAATCGTTATTCAACAAACTGAAAAATATTTCATCAGCTTTAAGAAACAGCATTAACAAAAAGTTAATTGAATTTAGTTAAAACCTGGTAAGAAAATCTGATAGTTGCTAGGATCCTCGACACCCTTGCGGAAAGCAAACTTACGCGGTCTGTTTGGATATTTAGGAGCCTTTTTGCAAATTTAAGGAGCTTATTTTTTTATTTTATCTAGTGGAAAAACTTTTAAGATTTTGGGACCCTAATGGCAGGTTACTTTTTTTAAGGGAGGTGAGCTACATCCACTTGCTACGGCACTGGATGAAGAATACATTTGTCAAATGATGATAGCCACACTTGTTTGATTTTGTGACGTAAATGTCAAAAATGTTTGGCTATTAGAATTATAACACCAAGGAGGTAGCCACATACCATCCACTTGTGGCTTTAATACATATACTATCTAAGTATTATAAATACTATAACTATAAATGACCCACATCTACACCATCTCATAAATTGAGCTATTACATGTAGCACAAATCAAATTTTCTTTTTAGGTATGCAAAATATAATATTTTAATTATTTAATTGCAAAATTAGTCAACAATCAAATATCTATTAAGTTTATTACCAATATCAATGGCTCAAAGTGCTTTGCTTCTTTGAAAAAATAAATATAAATACTTTTTTATATTCTTATAAGTCTTTTTTAGTGACTTTTGAAAGATTTAATTTTTATTTCGAAGAAAAAAAAAGACTAAAAAAAATTTCCTTTGTTTATAAAGTTTGTGTGCTGTCATTATTAACATATATGAATTTTGAATTAAGAAAAGAAAAAAAGAATAGAAACCACCAGCTTTTAGAAAATGAACCAAACTCGCCCTTTCGATGGTGCATCAGGCGCAACAAAATTGTTAAACTCAAATTTAGCAAACACATTCAATAATATTAAACAAATCAATAAATCCTTCAAATCTGATAAAAGTAACAAGCTCACACAAATCACTAAAATTAAAATTAATTTATTTCAACATTGATTTGATTTTAAACAAACGCCAAGAACTAAACTTCATTGTTCAAAAACTTAAACCACATCTCATTTGTCTTACTGAAACTTTGCCTAGAAAATGCCGATCAATGTGCGGTGATCAAGAAATTACTATAGAAAACTACATAACACTATCAAATCACAATAATAAATCATGTCAAAGAGGTGTAGCAATATTTGTACATATATCGTTAAAATCGTCATTGGTTACCTTTGATACCATTGCATCAGAATCAATTAGTTGTGAAATTCAAACAAAAAATTCTAAGCTACTAATAACAACATTCTACAGATCTCCAAATAGCAATGAGGAAAATGATAACTATATAAATCAACACATAACTAATCTTTCTGAAAAATACGAAAACATCCGTATTGATGGAGACTTTAACTACCCAGATATAACTTGGTCTAACAAAAAAGAAAACCCGATATCTCACTCATCAAAATCTTTAAAATTCATAAATGCAATCCGCAATTGTTTCCTCACACAACATATATCTAAACCAACCCACTTCAGAAAGAATCAAAAACCAACTACTATCGATCTTATAAAAACATCCGTGGAAAATATAATTTCACCAATAACCCACCTTGCTCCAATTGGAAAAAGTCATCACCACCTTTTATACTTTACCGTACTAACCGATCCAATAGATAAACCAACTCATACTACTAATAAGCAATTATTCTCTAAAGAAAACTATAATAAAATTAATAAAGATCTATCAACCTTAGTGTTAAATCAAAACTATAATTCAGAACAACTTTGGGATAAATTCTACACAAACCTTAAAAACACTATTAAAAAAAATGTTCCAAAATCCTCAACAAAACCTAAAAAGCGTTCACAATGGATAACCGCCCAAGTAGCAGAAGAAATAAGAAATAAACAAATTAAATATCAAGACTACATTCATAAACGGAGTGGTAAAACATACTTTGACTATTATCGAGCGCGTAACAGAACTAAAGCAGCTTGCAGAAATGCTATAATAAATTTTAAAAAAGAAATTGCTAAAAACATCAACAAAAATCCTAAAGCTTTTTTTTCATACATAAAATCAAAAAATCTTATAAAAAATCTCATTCCTGAAACAGTCCACAATAAGATAGTTGCTACTACCGATCTTGAAAAGGCTCAATGCTTCAATAATTACTTTGCTAGTAATTTTTATGATAATGATACATTGATTGTTCCAAGTTTTAACTTATCTTCTATTTGCCCCAGTCAAATCTCTAATGATCTTGATCTATCTCCTGAAAACATTGCATCTCATCTTCTGTCTATAAAGTCATTTAAATCACCGGGTCCAGATGAGATACATCCCAAACTATTAAAAAAAAACCCATCACCAAATCTCTATACATCTTTCTATTATTTATACTAAGGTACTTCAAACTAGTACATTACCACAAATCTGGAAAGATGCAAATATCATTCCAATTTTCAAAAAAGGAGACAAGAAACTAGTTACCAACTATAGACCCATTAGTTTAACATGCACTATAGTCAAAATATTTGAAAAAATAATACAAAAACATATTTTTATTCATCTTTTAAAAAATAATCTACTAACTCCTAGTCAACACGGTTTTTATCCAGGGCGCTCTTGTGAAACAAATCTTCTTACTGTAATCAATACATGGACACTTAATTTAGATAAAGGTCTTCCCGTCGATAATATTTACCTTGACTTTGAAAAAGCATTTGACAAAGTCCCACACGACTATCTTCTTTTGAAACTAAAAGCCTATGGGATTAATGGTCCAATTCTCTCTTGGATAAGAAACTTTCTCACAAATCGAAGACAAAGAGTAATGATAAATGGTAATTACTCTGATTGGGTATCAGTAAAAAGTGGAGTTCCCCAAGGTTCTGTTCTCTCAGCTCTATTATTCATTATATACGTTAACGATATTCCCAATATAATTACTTCAAATGCAGCACTTTTTGCTGACAATACAAAAATATTTTACCCTATTACTAATTTGCATTCACACACCGTACTTCAAAATGATATTGATATCTTGGTAGACTGGGCAACTAAATGGGGGATGAAATTTAATATAGAAAAATGTTCAGTTTTACACCTAGGTCATAAAAATAAACATCTTGTCTATTCTATGTACGATCCAGTAAAGAAAACAAGGATTGATATCAAATCTACCAACTCAGAAACTGACCTCGGAGTACATATCGATAATAACTTGCTATTTTCTAAACATACCTCTACTCAAGTTAATAGGGCAATGCAGATGCTATTTCTAATAAAAAGATCTTTCTCTTATCTAAATTCATTTTGTTTTAAAAGACTGTTTTCAGCACTAGTACGACCATATTTAGAATATTGTGGTTCTGTATATAACCCTCGTCTACTGAAAGACAAACGTATAGTTGAAAATATACTCAGAAGAGCATCTAAATCAGTTTATGGATTAAAAAGTCTAACATATCACCAAAGACTATTAAAAATTAATATGACAACCATAAGATACAGACTAATCCGGGGAGATTTAATAAACATCTATAAATGGCTAAACAACTACTACAACTGTCAAACGATCTTTCCAAAAACAATTATAAATTCTATTACAAGAGGACATTCATTTAAACTAGAAAAACCTTATTCTCGTCTAGCTTCTTGTTAATACTTTTTCACCTTACGAGTAATCAACAAATGGAACTCCCTCCCAGATGACGTTGTGCTACTTCCGTGAGCAATTTTAATAACAAACTCGACAATTATCTAAAAGAAGAAAAGACAATTTATGATTAGTATATTTATATATTAATCATAAGACAGGTTGACAGGCATTTCATGCCTATACAAATCCAATTTGTAAACCTTAATAATAATAATAATATTAATAATAATAATAATAATATATAGGGGAAATCGTGTTTAGATAGTTGGATAACAAACCCGATGAACTAAAAACTACAGCTAAACACTTGATTAAAATTCTACTTTTCATGATTTGATTGAATAATTAATTAATTATTCAATCAAACTTTGTTGATAGAACTAACAGTAATGGAGGCCAAACAGCTTCAATTAGTTACAAAGACAATTATCTTAACTAAATCTTTTTTTATTTTGTGTAACATATTATTGTGCAATATTATAATGCCTTGATTTAATCAAAACTTCTTTTATTAAATCTTTTTTATAACATAAACTCCATTATTAATAAATGTATCACTAATAAAATGAAGGAACTTATATTTTTAATGAAAACAAAAACAAGTTTGCAATGTTTTAAGAAAACATTGTTTTCATATGTTCTGTTAAATTTTCTTTATTAAATGTTTTAATAAACCTAAACAAATTTAGTAAAAAAATAGTTAGTTTTCAAAACAGCAATATGCTTTATCAAAACATCCAGAAATAAATAAAGTAAAAAAACGTCTTAGAAAATTATTAAATATAATCAAATAATAATAAAGTAGTTTTACAAAACTTGTCATAATTATATTCTATTTGCTTTCCAATTAATATTTATTTTTTTAATGACAAATCTTTCAACGTTTTCAAATTTTATTCATGATACTAAATTTTTTATTATTTATACAAAAACATCAAAAAAGTTTTTTAAATAGCAGTTAAACAAATAAATATTTCCAATAAAGTTTATATCTTTTTGTTGACATTTATTTAAGTTATACGAAAACTAAAAGTATTTAAAAAATTTCTATAGTTTAACTTTTGTTAAAGCTCAAAAATTCAAAAACTAAAGTATAAAATATTGCAGCTTTTAACATGACATCGTCATTAAGTTTGAATACTATTATCTAATAACAAATACCAATAACAATACTAATAACAAATAATAATAACAACTGAATCTTACATTGTACTTGAACCTATCATTGTCAGCCTTAACAAATTTTTGAACAACATTTTCTGAGGTTAAACTAAAATGGGGGGTCAACAAATACTCAAACTCCACTCTTGTGTTTATTGAAGCTTCAAATGTTGGGTAAATCTGTAAGTTTATTGTGAGAAGATATCTACAAAAGAAAAAAAAAATCAAATGCTATTATAATAGTGATAGTTGAATGCAAATTTGTTAAAGAACTATACACCGCATAAAAGGATTCCTTGTTTTTAATATTTAAAATGTAAACTTTATAATTAAAAAAGTTATTAAACATATTTTAACTTTATTACACAAACTTTAATATAAGTTAATAAATATATTTTAGTTTATCAATACATTGAAAATATATTCAATTTTCCAGTATTACAGAAACTACATGATAAAGATAAAATATGTTGTCTAATGTTGATAAATAAATTTGAAATAATTTTACTTATGTAAAAAGAATATAACATTTTTTGATTTAAAACCACATTCTGCGGTGTCGTTTCAATTACATGATGCAAAAACTTTTTCCTAATTAACATAGATTTAAAAAAATATATATTAATTTAATAAACAAATAAATATATATTAATAAACTGACATGTCAGAAAAATAGATGACTATATTGACGATATAGTTTTAGATTTTTTTTGTTTTGAAAATTTCATTATTGTGAAAATGATGTTTTCGCAAAAAAACTATTAAAAAAAAAAAAAAAGTCACAACAATCTAAGCAAAGAGCCTTGAAGAATTTCTAAAAGTAATGTGTTCTGCAAAACAAATAATCCATAAACCACATGGTTTTGTTATTAATAATATCATATGATATCAGTTTCTGAAGTAAATTTTAATCCTTAATTGTGTCATATGTATTATTTATAGCAAAAGTGTAAAGGTGCTTTGTAAAAGTATTCCATAACATTCTGCGCTGTTCTAAAAGTGCTCTAGACCTTCATATCTAAAAGACTTCACAAATTTTCAAGAACTTTCTAATTGCCCACAAAGTCATTGTGTTTTAAACTTGCATAGGAATTTTTAAAATGTATGGTTGGTGTGACATTTTTTAACTTTAATGAAATAAACTTTTAATTTTAAACAAAAAATATGCAAGTAATATTATTTTATATTTGAACCTTTGCAGTCTGTTATTCTCCAGCAATAAAGTAGCTGAATATTATTATTAGTATAACTATTAGTAATTAAATAGTTTCAAAAATTAATTGATATTCAATATAAAATTAACATAAAACTACTGATATATTACTTTTAATCAAAAACGTACAACGTCTAAAATAAAGTTATTGAAAAAAATTCTAATTCTATTCAGACAAATAGGCTACCAACATTGAATAGATCACATCAAATGAGTAAGACACATATAAACTTTTGATAGACTTTTTTAATTAGTTTTTATTGAAGTTATTATGATCACTTATCATTGATATTTTTTAATGTTAGGTTATCGTTTGAGATTTGACATGTTTATAATTGAATACAATAAAATTAAAGTTGTACATACTTAGATGACACAAGTTTTAAAGAACAAAAAATAAAAAAAAAAAACAACGAGTTAAATGCAAAGTTAGTAGTTTAGAATGGTCTATCTACTTGATTAACCTAGACAATGCTGCTTAGTTTTATTTAACTTGACATTTTAAAATAATTTTTGGCAGAAATCAACAAAAGATTATTCAAGAAAAACTTTTTTTTAAAAATCTCCTAATCTTTATTCTTGTCCTTCCTGTTTTTGTATTTTATAAAAAATAGTTTAGAAACTTCGTGGCGTATTCTTTCCGTATTGTCAGATTTAAGATAGGGATTCAAGATAGGCCAAGTTTGAGACCATTTGAATGCATTATCAAGATCTGTGTAAAGGTTAGTTGTACATAGGTATGGAGATATTTTCGAGAGTACTTTTGTATCATCTGCATATAGTTTGGTAACATTAGGCAAATTTTTAAAAAAGTACTTAATATACGTAAAAAAAAACGAGATAATTACAGAACCTTGTGGTTTTTAAATGAATTGAGACTTTTTTAGGAAGCATAAGACAAAAAGTTGTTCAAGGCGATAACATTTCATGGGTTAAGTTTTTCAACCTCTGAAAATCTATATAAAGTCTCAATTCATTTAAAAATCAAACTATTAAAACCGTATGTTTTCAGTTTAAATTAGCAACCTTTTGTGTTAAACAGTATCAAAGACTCTGGCAAAACCTAAGAAACTACGTCAGCTGGAATACCGACATCTAACTTTAATAAAATGTAATCAAGGCTTAAACTAGGTTAGTTGTACATAATTAATTTTTTAATAAAACTAAATTTCTGTCTTGCAAGTATATTAATCTTATGCAGACAATTCTCAATTCAGCTCTAAATACTTTAGCTCTAGTCTACTTTCCATATATTTACATAGAACCTAAATCAAAGAAACTGGACGGAGGATGTTTAATGAGTCCTATCACGTTTTTTGAACAGTGATGTTACGTTCGCTGTTCAGAATTCATATAGCTGACTAAAACTTAGTGTCAGAGGAAAATGAAAAACTTCAACCCAGTTTTTAAGCAGAAATGGATGGATATTATTAGGACCACATGATTTATTTTATGTAGGATTTTTTAGTTTGTCTAGTTTTGTACTGATTTTTGCTGATGTAAGACATTAAGGCAAATCATTTATAAATAAAACAAACCTTAGTGGTCCCAAAATAGATTCCTGAGGTACTCTAATTGTTAAATAAAATTCTTTATTATTATATTTGTTCTTTATTATATATATTTGTTGATAATATCTATTATCAACAAAATTCTTTTGAATTCTTGAAAAAAGGTAGCTAGTAAACCATTCAAACTCGTTACCTGGTATTCCATATGATTTAATTTTATTTCGAAAAAAATCATCGCTTATAGTGTCGAAAGGCTTCGTTAAATCAACAAATGCATTGCTTGCAAGGTTTCCTTTGTCAATATTTTTCCTTATATTGTCATTTAACAATGAAACTGCAGATTGTGTTGATTTTATTTGCGATATCTAAACTGAGAACTAGTTAACATAGCATAACTTTCAAGGTGTTTTTGTAGCTAATAATGAACAGCTTCTTTTAAATTTTCGGATAAATTGGTAAGATTGATATAGAACAATGACTTTCTTTATCTGTTGGCCCAGATTAATGAATTGGCATTATTTTTGCATTTTTAAGTGTTGCGGCTTAAATAAAAGATTGACTATAAGATTAATTTGCTTTGGAGACTGCTGTTGCAGAGCCTTTAAGTAAATTTAAAGGAAGAACATCTTTACCCGTCGCTTTATTCTTTTTTAGATAACTTTAAAAAGTGTTCTAAAAAGATGTTTGAAACGTAGATAATATAAAAGGTTTTGGTTGCCCTTGATTAAGGATTACGATGAGGTTTTCAAGTTTGTTAAAATAACAAAAAAAACTTTTGCTTAGTTTTTTTAACGATTGTTAAGTATTAATTAAAAAAGTTGCATAACCAACTTTTTTAAATTTAAAACGACGTCAATCTGATTTTGCTTTTTTTCTAAATATAATTTATTTATGTATTCCAGAATTCATCAGGTTTGAGGCTATTTCCATTTATTATATTTTTGTGGTATTTAAATTTTACGTGATAAATTACATTGTTACAACAATTCTGTTTTTGTTTGTATTTCAACCAATCTGTTTTATTTTCAGTTTTATAGGCTATCTTAAGAAAAACATGTGTTTATTAAAGCGTGGATGGGGCGTGTCTATCAAATACCTGACTAACTTTTTGAGTAAAAAGTTCCAGAATTGAACTTGCACTGATAATATTGTGAAAAGGTCTTTAGCCTTATTTGTTAAGCTCTTCCTAGCGTCTTTGTAGTAATTTTTGTAAAATCTACATTGAAATAATTTATTATATTATATTTGAATTCAGTTTTGATCTTTCAACTATAACATTTTCATTTTCAAGATAAGAGATTTTAGTTTATTTTTTAACTGATTTGCAAGTTATAATGTATATGTATATCTATCTACATATTTATATATATATATATATATATATATATATATATATATATATATATATATATATATATATATATATATATATATATATATATGTATATATATATATATATATATATGTATATATATATATATATATATATATATATATATATATATATATATATATATATATATATATATATATAAATATATATAAATATATATATATATATATATATATATATATATATATATATATATATATATATATATACATAAAAGAAGAGAGTTATAAAACAAGGAAACATTTGAAAGAAGACATAAAGTGATTAAGGTTGTATGATTCAAAAATATATAACTTAGCAGAGAGAGCAGGTCCAACTATGTTTACAATGCGTTTTTGAATCTTGCCGAAAACAAAAAGAACATCATTAGAAGAACCAGCCCAAATATGACAACAGTGTTCCATACGGTGACAAATAAAAAATTTGTTGGGACTGAAAATGGAATTATGAGTAAGAAAATAGGAAGTACAATAAAACATTCAATTGTATATATGGTTTCCATGAAAGGTCAGTAGTAAACAATAATCCTAGAAAACGTAAAGAAGAGGACTTGGTATGAGAGTTGCCATTCATTATTATAGGAATGTCAACAGTATTGCAATCTTTATTTGCGATAATTAACTTTTAGTAAAGCCACTTAGAGCTCGAATCGGGTACAAAAGTGATATTAGATTTAAGATTGGTTGCCTGTTTTAAGTGATTCAAAAGAGAAGACATTTTGTTAGGACAGGAGTTTAAAGTTAAGTCATCAACTAAAAAAGAGCTACTTTAGATGTAAGGTTGTCAGGAGAACTATTAATGTAAATAAAAAATAACATGCCAAAGGAGAGAAAATTATCCCAACAGTAAATGAAAAAAAGTAAGAGATTTGGCCTTCGAGAATGACTGAGATATGACTTTAGCAACGGAAACTGGAAGGATTTGAATATCTTACAATGGATTAACCTATTTAATTAAATTGGAAGAAAGAAGAAGGCTGTAAAAATTGAGAGTTGAATTAGAAGAAAACTTCTATTGAACAGTTCTGCTTTATCTTTTGAAAAGGTTATCAGATCATTTCCATAGATGATAGAGAGATGGAATGTCAGACCTACCCTTGTTAACATAGTGTTTGAAGATTTTGCAAAATTCTTTAAAGCCTACCTTCTGATGTAAGATATGAAATACTATGAACTAAGAAGGAACCATAGGAGGTGCGTTTATAACCTGAGATAATAGACATCAAGCCACGGACTGTCACAAAAAAATCTGAAAATAAATCCTAGTCAGCTTTAGGGTATTAGTATATAGTGCATGAATGGGCAAGTCCGAAAACGAAGTACAAGAAAAAAGATATAAATAGATAATTGCATGCTTAGGACCACCAAATTGAGAAAAAGGAGAAATTAAATACAAGCTAGGATAAAGACGACGTGACAAATACGGAGAAAAATTAAATGCTTAGTGTTGTCAGAAAAACGAGTCACAAAGTTAACTATCTAAAAAAGCTTTGAGAAATGCTGAAGCTTGAAATCTTAGTGCCGGCAGAGTCAGTAGTGTTAAAGCCAAACCATTCTATGTGATGAGCCTTATTGTCACTAATAACATCAATATTAGCAGAGGTGTAAATAGAGAGAGAGCATGGTCAATTTAATCAAAAAGTACATCTAAAATAAGGCATTTTTGGGAAGTCGGAGAACGGTAAAGATTAAACAGAAAGGTGATAGGGTGAAGAGGTACTAAACGGAAACACATAAACAAATGGTTGAAAGATTTGTACTAGATTTCACGAAAAATAGTTGAACTGATGTGTATGTATACCCCTAACCCAAACATGTGATTATAAGAGGCTTTGCAAACGAAAAGGTAGTAACCATCAACACAAAGATCTAAAAAAGAATTTGTGGAATGTAAATTAGTCTCACTAAGAACAAGCAAATTTGGTAAGGTTTGCAACAGGTAAAATTCAAATGGTAGATGGTTGCTTTGCAGACTACAAATATTTATAAAAAATATATTAAAACAGTTAGGTGGTGGGAATATTTTTTTATATTAAATAATTTGATTCACTTTTAGCAAATGAGTAATTTTACATGAACCCCACGACAGGGAAATTTTAGCTGAATACAATTAACATCTGCCCAAGATAATTATTCTTATCAAGAAATCATATCTAGCTTTTAGTTAACAAAGAGGCCTAAGGCAGAGGACTTTAAAATCTAAGTTTGTTTTTTTCTAGCCATTGCCTAAAAATGCACACCCTACATATAAATATTAATAAATATTAAAATTTATAATTAGAGTATTTTCAGTCGGACATGGGACAGGTAGTAATGAGACATGAATGAGAATCAGACAGTCGGACATGGGGCAGGTAGTAATGGGTTATACGATAACAGTAGCTGGGTGGTTTTGATGATCCTGAACATGACATAACATGAAATATTTAACACTAGCTACATCTTCAAACAAAACCGAAAAACGTTGCACATTTTTTGAAAATGCATAAGGAAATATATTATTACTAGTGCGGCAAGTTAGTGCGGCCGTGGCGGAGTGGTTTGAGCGCTTACTTTATAAGCAGCAGTTCCAAACTTGAAACGAGCTTTGGACATATTTCGCGTCGCAGTATAGTAGAAGGAGTGAACTTCCTGGTAAAAATCACTTCCGCGGTGCTCTGTGACAAGACTGTTAGGACTTTTTGGGGCACAAATAACAAAATATCTATATATCTATATCTATCTATCTTATATATATATATATATATATATATATATATATATATATATATATATATATATATATATATATATAAATATATATATATATATATATATATATATACATATATATATATATATATATATATATATATAAATATATATATATATATATATATATATATATATATATATACATATATATATATATATATATATATATATATATATATATATATATACATATATATATATATATATATATATATATATATATATATATATATATATATATATATATATATATATATATATATATATATATATATATATATATATATATATATATATATATACAACAAACGAAATAAATTCTTCTTTTAATTTTACAAAAATTAGTCAACAAAATAAACAATAAATGAAATATTTTCTTCTTTTAATTTTACAAAAAATACTCTAATTATAAATTTTAATATTTTAGCACTGGAGGCCTTTCAAAAAACCATCAATTGTGCTATATATTTATATATTCATATATATATATATATATATATTATATATATATATATATATATATATATATATATATATATATATATATATATATATATATATATATTATATATATATATATATATATATATATACATATATATATATATATATACATATATATACATATACATACATACATATATATATATATATATATATATATATATATATATATATATATATATATATATATATATATATATATATATATATATATATATATATATATATATATATATATATATATTTATGAAAAGTTGTAATTTTTCCATTAGTTATTGTTTTAAACATATTGATACATACCCTTGAAGAGTGATAGTATTTAAAACTTTCCATAATGTATTGGTTACATCTAAAAAATCAAAAAAATAAAAGATACTAAATGATTAATAGGTTTCTAAAAATAAATTAACAGTTTTCTAAAAGTTTGAGTGTATCTCCTAAATTACTTTTACTGGTTTTATATAGGGCTGATGTTGAAAATCAAGTTATTTATCTCCTTTGGAAGTTTTTATAACATAGTTTTATTATATCTTGGTTATATTAATGTACTAAAATATAACTATGCGATATATAATTACATAATTATATATATAATATAATTATTTAAATATACCATTTATAATTGAATTATAACATTTATGATTACATTATTGTATTGTATAAAACCAAACAATACGCGAATATATAAAACATATAAATTTACATAACTATACAAAAACATAATGTAAATATACCCGTATATTTATATAATAAATACTATATATCGTAATATAATTATAAGTTGTTGCATTATATACAAACATTTCTTATACTTATAAAACGATTGATAAACATCATAACATTCTTTAACAACTTTTCAGTTTATCTTTATATGATATATCTTAAAAATAATTTTCTTCTAAAAATTTTGTTCTATTAACCAGCCTATGCATATTAACAATTTTTAAATCAGTGCAGCCTTGGTGCAGTGGTTAGAGCTCTGGATCAGAGTAAAAATATTAAACGCATTATAAACCCTAACGGCTACATTTACAGTTTTTAGAGATTATAAAACATAAAACAATGCTGTGTAAGAATTAAAGACAATAGTGAAAACAAATTAAAGAAACAAGATAAATACAAGTTCATCAACAATAATAATATCAAAAAAACTAATAAAAATAACATATAATAAAATAAAGAAAAAAGCCAAAAAAAAAAAATGTTTCATTACAAAATTGTTGAAATTATAGCTTTTAATACAATAGATCAGATTCAGTAAACATAATAAAAATCATATAACTTTTTAATTAATACAAAGATTTTTCTGCTGCTTGTCTTTTGTGTGAAATTATAATATATCAAAGTAAACAATATTTTTTATCTTAATCTAAATTCTTTTTTTTTTATATTACTTTAAATTTTTTTTTCTTAAACTCCTTTTTTTGTTTTTTTGTTTTTGTCAATAAATTCATGTTGTTGTTTTTTTCCCCTTCTATGTCAGCTGTTTTTTTTTCTAGTTTTTTCCATTTTTTTTTTATTAAAAAGTTTCTTTTTTTTGCCACAAAAAATAATTTTAATAATAGTAATAATCATAACAACAATAAAACTGCAAAAATTAATGGTTATGGCTTGTGTCTTTTATGAATTACTTTCTAAGTCTTTTTTTTTATCTTCAAATCAGAATAAAAATTAAAAATTTTGTAAAATGTGTATAAAATTAAGTACAAAAATTTCACAAACTCCGGATTTTTATCCTTATGTTTAAAAAAAAAAATTATTTTAATAGTTTAAACAAATATAATCTTATTTTTTTTCAAAAATGTGCTAGTTGTTTTAGTCTACAGTCTAATTCTTTAAAAGTCATAATAACAATCTAAGTTATTTAATAGCTGACAATACAACTCTAAAATAAGTTTACTTTTCGGTTTATGCTTATGTTATATTTCGATTTAGCTTATAATATCTTTATTCTTAAATTTCACATCATATAGACAATACTATCTTAATCCGAATCCGTTTTATTTTAAAGGAAAAGGGAAAAGTTTCTTCTCTTAACCATTCTTAACCAAAAGTTTCACCCTCTTAACCATTTTAAAACAACTTCCTCGTTCTATACAATTAAGGCTGTCAGCTAATTCATCTAATGAAATTTTTTTTTGAATTTCATCTGATGTGCATCAAGATGCATTAAAAAAGTTTGGTTACAAATTCAAACTTAACTATATTTCAAAACCTATCCAATCTCTATCAAAAAATCGTAAGCGCAATATAATCTGGTTTAAACCCCTATATATTAAAAATGTTTCTGCAAAAATTGGTAAACCCTTTTTGAGTTTAATAGATAAACACTATTTAGCGGGCCATAAATACCACAAGTTTTTTAATAGAAACACCTTAAAAGTGAGTTACAGCTGTATTTTGCGTTAAAAACATCTTTAAAACTTCAAAAATGTTATAGTTTGTATTTTAGAAAAACTGAAAATTGATAAAAAAGGTCCCAGCGGTAGAATTTAAATCACGACGCTTTGTATCAGAAATTCTAGGCGGTAACCACTTTAACCGCTAAAGTATTTTGACTTCAAAGAAATAGCGCTATTTAATAAACAAAACTTTTTGTAAAACGGCAAATAAATGCTCTAAAAAATAAAAATTAGGGACTTATTGCTACAACGCAGTTTTCAAAATAAGTGACACTGTAAAACTTGCATTTAAAGACAACAGTTGTGGTAAACAGGAAAACCATGGTCAATTATATCAGAAACTTAATCTGAAAGAAAACAGTTTTGTAAGAAAAGAGTACAATAAAGAAGAGAGAGGAAAGGGACAGAGTAAAGAGGTGCAAAGCAGTAGCTTATACAAGAATGGTAAAAGCGATTAAACCTGATTAGACAACAAATATGTAAACTGATGCGTAACTTTATCCCTACACCAAGATCTAAACAAAGAACAGACAAATTTAAATTAGTCTTACAAAAAGCAAATCAGTCTAGTTACTTTTGCATATGATACAAATTAACTAATGGATATTTACTTCAAAGACCATGAATATTGGTGAAAAATATATTGAAACAAATAGGTAAGAATTAAATATTCTAGTTACATTAGGCATGGTTTGAGTTTAAAATAAACTTTAATTTTAATGTAGGTAGATACAGCATACCAAACAATTAGATTTGCAACATGGCATTGTTAGCACTAAAATATTTAATAGCTGTTGATAAAATCAAGCGCTCTGGGAGTAACCACAGCGTTTGCAAAACCTTACTGCCAGCCAGCCTTAGAACCATTACACTAAGTTTTAAAGCTGTACTCTCATTAGAAAATGATTAAAAGTATTATTTACATAGAAATACCGCGAGTATTTAACATTTTTTACTTTTCAAAGTTTTTTGTTAAGATTGGCAGGTTAAATAATTACTTATTTGGATAACTTAATACTACTTATTTAGCTAACTTAAAATTTGGTGTTGCTATTGAACAAACTATACTTAGTATTGGGTAGCAATTAGTTGGTTTATGTGCTTTGATGAAACTATATAAGCGATGAGGAGTGGCGTCACTAGAGAAAGATACTCTGTACTCAATTTTTGTAAATTTTGTATTCAGATACTTTAAATTATTCTGAACCATGTGAAATGGTTTTTAAATTAGATCATAGTTTATAATTTTAGGATTTCTAAGTTGTTTTTTAATTTCTTTAAGGACATATTTATTAATTCAAACAATGAACTGTCTTTTGTCAAAACATTTCTCTCTTTAAAAAAAACTTTTTCCACAAAAAACCTTGAACTGCTTTCAACTCAAATCAATATTTATTTGACCATTTGATTTTTGCAAATAAATTAACTAGCCTTTTCAACAAAGATAAAAATAAATTTTAGTTTTTTAATTATACTTTTTACTGCTTACCAAGTTAATTAATTGAAAAAATTATCAATTAAGCAATTAAAGAACTCAATAAAATAATACTTTTTAAAAAGCATACTCATCTTAAGTAGAATAAAAGTTTTAGTTTTAAAGTTAGTGCATATATGCTTCGAGTCAAATTTTAATATTGAAATTACACAAGGTAATTTTAAAAGATTAGAAAAAGTTTTTTTATAATTTAGATAGTAGAAAGTAGAAAAAAATGAAACTTTATAGAATTCATTATAGAACTTTATAGAAACCATCAAAGTGATGATAGCTTGCTTTAGCCGCAACTATGATGGAAGTTGCTAAAAAGATAAATAAACAAAAGTATATAACAATCGGACTATGACTCAGGATTGGCAGCAAGAGTAGACTAAAAAGTGTTTACAATGAGTCTTCGGAACATGTGTGCAAGATCAAATGCCTCATTAGAAGAACAAGCCTAAGTATAGCAAGAGTATTCTATACAAGAGTTTATAAAAACTTTTAAAATAAGAAAAAAAAACTAGGAGCAAAAAATTGGCATTCAAGGTGAAAAAAAAAAAACATACAACTCACCAAGCAAATTGCCATTAAACAGTATAAAAATATAACAATATTGCAACAGCTTTTCAAAGTTAATTACTGACTTATGGTTTAAAAGTCACTTGCAACTACAAGATTTAAGCTGATACTAAATAGAAATCAAATTTAAGATTGGGAACTTGTTTAAATTAATCATAAAAAGACAATTTTTTGTTTGACTAATGTATATAGTTGATTTATCAATAAATAGAGGCAATACAGAGATAAGTAATTAAAACACTTATTTATGGAGATGAGAAACATGACAGCACTAAAATTAAAACATTGATGTACTCCAGAAGAACCTGAAAATATAAGAATATTGAAAATGAAGAAGAGTCTAACTGCAGTTACAAACGTTTGTAAAAATTTTAAACATTTTTTTGACACATTATACAAATAGCTTGTGAAAAAACACGCTTGTCAGACTTGATCAAAAATCATATGAAAACTCAATAGCAAATGCTTTTTGTGTCGCAGTCTCCATTTACTGCATGAAAAAACCATTTATAAATTTCAAAAAATTATCAGTAGAACAAGAAGTTCAAAATCTTTTTTGATTGTAACTTCCAGTTGTTAGACTAAAATTGAGATAACAGTTTTTTAAATAAAGACTTTAAAAAATAAATTTTAAATAAATGTATTAACTAAAAATTATTTAAATTAAATAAATAAAACTTAAATGAGTTATTAAAACTGACAAACTATGACTTAAATTGTTAGATGTTAATAAAAAGTGTGATGACTGGGTAAATTCAATGTATAAGTAAGAGATAAAAACTTTAAGAAGATCATAGAATAATAAAATATTTCTATTAAGGAACAAAGAGAAACAGAGCACATGTTATGATGAGAGTCAAGACACAAATCAAAAATTGAAAATTAATGTCTAGGATTTTTTTAAAATTAGTCACAAATATTACTACCTCTGTCCTGTCTAAGAAATAAAGAGAACGGTAAAGAAAAAAATTTATGATTAAGAGGTGTTAAAAAGAAACATACGAAAGACTCTTTTCATGATTTAAATCCTAATTTGTATATCAAAAGATTTACATTCAATAGTTATAATTGAAAAGCATTTTCAATGAAATCCAAAGATGAAATAGAAAAGTTTTAACTTTCTTAAAATTCTTATTACCATTAAATTTATAAACAAAAAATAAACTTTAATAATGTTATTATTATCACAATAGATACCATGAATATTTATACAAAAACCAGGATAAAAATTCATCAAACTTATTTCTTTCTTTTGATAGATCAAGGAAAGGTTTTGATTTACAACTTAGGCATCTTTACACAAATAATAAAATTAGATAATCTAAATTAGATGTCTGAGTGTTTTATTTAGATAACTTAAATTAAATGTTTTACAATAACCTAAAATAGGTATTTCCGTGTAAATAGGGTCTTGAAATATATTTACATTGTAAATGCTTATGACAAAAAGATTTATGACAAAATTAAAAAAATATAAAGAGAAAATGGAAACAAAAAAATTTTTATTTCACTAATAGTTTTTTTTTATTGATTGCTCTATGATGTAAATATTAGACTTTGTTATGATATGAAACAGAAATTTTGTTTTTGCTCATTGTGTACATAAATAGATTATAGATATTCAAAAGTTATGTAAATTTGATTATTAAAAACTGTATTCAAAAAATATGTCAAATAAAAATTCTCAAGTAATAGTTTAAGATTAAATATTCCTATTCATATAAAAATGAACTGTCAACCTTTTTTTTTCTAAAACTGTTGCAATAGTCATAGTATTAAACTATTGACTACCATTTTTATCTGCAATTCTAGGTAAGTGATGTTTTTCATGTTCAATTTAATTGCTTTTATTGTAAGCTTTTCATGCAAATATTTTAAATAATCCTGTACTACTAGACTATTAAATAAGATTTGCACATATTTAATATAAAGTTTGCCTAATTAAAAAATGTGCACAGAAAGGTTGAATGTAATTACTAAAATATTTTAAAAAGTACCCAAATACTAAATATACACAAAGATATATTTTTACAGTGTAAATAATTTTAATGCAATTATCATCAACGACTTTTAACCTTGTTTTTGTTTAATTTTTTTTATTTTCAATTAGAGAAAATCTAACAAAGAAATTCATTTTTTAGAAAATGCACAGTAATAGACTATAACTCTTTTATATTTATATTCTTTACTGAATTCGAACTAATTATATTTGTTCATTATTTAAATTAAAGATAATTTGTGAAAATTTTATCAAATTACTATGTTAAAAAAAACCTTTTCTAGCCTAGCTAAAAAAAAAATTGCTTTTTGTTAACAAAAATTTCAAAACTCAAAATATTTACAACTTAAAAAGTTTTTGTACCTATAATGGAAAAATTACAAGATTTTGTTTCAGCATCATTTTCAACACAATCATTTGGTTTATCAAAGCTGCAATTGCGGTTTCTACATGTAACACTCGATGCATTGCAGCAAGACCATTCACCCCATTGTGCCCATAATGCTGTAAAAAATTATACGAATAAAAAATAAGTATATATATATATATATATATATATATATATATACATATATATATATATATATATATATATATATATATATATATATATATATATATATATATATATATATATATATATATATATATATATATATATATATATATATAACCACAACTTAGTAGCCTCTTTTTCTTTTGTGGCCGTTTTTCAGTTTTTATTTATAGGAAAAAATCTATTTATACAGTATTGGCCATTAAAAACAATCCATCATGTTGTTTTAGTATAAATATAAGTTTGAAATCAAATAATTTGTAAACTAAAAGTAATTATTTTTTAAAAGTTTTTTTTATTGAATCAAAAAAGCGCAATATAAATTTGTTACAAAGTAATAACAATTAAAATAATTAAAAACTGAAATATTGAAATTAAAACAGGTGTTTGTTTTTATCAAAATAAAATTTTGGCGAAAATACACAAACTACATTATAAAAAACTTTAATAAAATACTTATAAAACATAAAAACAAAAGTAATAATATTTTGTTGATCATTCTTTTGCTTTTATGCAATCTCTAGTATGATTTGGCAAAGAGTTCACTAAATTCTGAGTAATCTCTCTTGGATCACTTTTTAGTAATTTGTTACAATTTTTTTCAGCTGTCTGAATTGTTCATTTCTTTTTTAACAGGATTGTGGTTAAACTCAAAACACAAATTGTCTATGTAATTAAGATCTAGACTATTGGCAGGCCATGACATGGTTTTGATGTTGTTGTTTTTCAAACAATTGCTTGCAAATCTTAATAGTCTTTTTGGAAAAAGTCAACAGAAGGCATCAAATAACTATCTAATATGTTTAAATATCTCAGAGAATTAAGTCTTCCACCAAATATTTTAAAACGACCGACACTTTTATAGTTCATGCAGGCTCAGTTATCTATACTACCACTACCATGTTTTTTTCTACTCGTAGAGCAATGTAGGTCCATTTAGTAATCTGGCTAGCTATTCAGCGTTACTTCTTCAACTCAATCAACTTCAACGTTTATTTTATCTGTAGAAAGATTGTTGTGCCACATGCTCATATACGAAATTTTATGAGCTAAACACCAGTTTTTTCTTGTTTTCTAATGTTTTATCAATAGACTGGGTTTTTTCGCAAGCAGCTTGTCACAATTAGTTGTGTTTTTGTAGCACTCTTCTAGTTGTTTGAGCATTAACAGCAACACCAGAAGAATTTTTTTTTTTCCTCTATGATCAGTAGATGATAAACTTCTATTTGTTTTCACTATGCAAATAAGTGAACGTTTATTTCTTTTATTTGAAATGCTGAGTCTTCCTGAACATAAAAGATTTTAAATTGTATTGTATCTTTATCTGCTGACTGTTCTATAAAAAAAGGTATGCGTTGTGTTAAAATGTTTTGCCGTTTCTGTCATTAGGATGTTTTGTTTATTCATAGCTATGATATTACAATTTGTTATATTATTAAAAACATTTCCAGTCAATTTGATCGTTTGATTGCTATAAAACTGTAGTTAATTTACTCTGATTTTTCTATTTTATTTTCTGCAATTTTTTAATATTGGTAACAATTTAGATAAAACTTTAAAATAATTATAAATAGTTTAATTAAGTGCAAAGTTTTAATCAAAAACCAATGAAGTTCTGAAGGAGATTTAAAATAATACAGTGGATTGTTAATTTTGGACATAACTCTTATTTTAGATTATTTAAGAGATATGTCAAAAAAAAACCAATGTAACTAGCACATCGAATAATAGTTTTAATAATATCTATATTTATTTGAAAAAATTAAAATGCTTATTTATATACATTTTTTATATTTATGAAAAGTCAAACAATAATTGATTTCATAACCATCAAAGACAATGATATCAAAAAAAAACATGCTGGGTTGTTATTTATGGCCAAAACTGTATATATAATATATATATATATATATATATATATATATATATATATATATATATATATATATATATATATATATATATATATATATATATATATGTATGTTTTTATTATTATTTTTTGTTTTTGTTCTTTATTACATTATTTATGATGCAGATACAAATAATATAAAAAAAGAAAAAAGAATGTACATCAAATATATACATATACTAATATAGATAAGGGATTTTCAAATAATTAAAAGTAGATTAGTATATTTTCGGTTGAAAAAATGAGTTATTTAAGATTTTGTTTAAAGAATTAAAATTACAATTTTGAGGATTAAGTTTATTAAGTTATCGTTCCTTAGAATATATATATTTTTATCTTTTTGTAAATACAAGTTACGAAAAGAAACGGGTGAAAGGTGGGTCTTGCATTTATACATAAAACAAAGAATATTAAAAACATTCAACTCATATATATTGAGTGCTTTCATATCATATAAAAGAGGCTTGGCGTGAGCAAAACGGTACTTAAAGTATTCTAAGGCGTGCTACATGCTTCTGTTGCCGATAGAAAGATTTAAGTTTACTTTTATAAGTGCTACCTCAAGCAATATTTGCATAGTTGATATGGCAATAATTAAACGAATAATTTAATCGAATTATGGTATTTTTATCAAGAATGTTTCTTTATTAGTATAGTATGCCTATACTCTTTGAATTTTTACTGCACAAGTTAGCAGTGCGGCATTTTCATGTAAGATTTTCATTGATATATACACCTAAAAATCTTGTCATTAAAACTCTATCAATAACTATGTTATCGATAAATAGAAAAGGTAATTTGCTAGGCAGCTGGTGCTTTTTACGATAAGGATGAAAAAGAATTCTTTTAGTTATATCAATATTTAGTGAGATTTTGTTTAATCTAAACCATTCGGAAATTATGACATATGTATTGCTTTATGTTTATAAAATTTTATGTTTATAAATGTTTTTAAATTTCAATTTTATACAAATTGATTTACATTTTTTATATTTAACTTTAGATCCTTATTCAACCTTATTGAAAATATTTTTGTTCGGATTATTGTTCGGATTATTGTTCTTGATTATATCTACAATAATCAAATCGCTAATATAGAAAAAAATCAACTTTTTTTGGTTTTTGAGGCTCTATGTTATAGGCCTTTACCCTTGTGACAAACCTTGTTTAAGTCTAAATATGGGCCTGTATATAAAATCAATATCTACTTAGTTTTTAGTTGTGTAATAAAGATTATTTACTAAATGATTGTTCAACTGTTGTACTTGTTGATGGAAGTGATAAAAATTAACTGGCAGCATTAGGTAGTTTTGGAGCATATGAACAACATAGCAACTTGAATAATACTAAAACAAGATCTAAAACACAAATTACAAACTAAAAAATTTGAACCTTCAAAAACAAACTAGTCCATTAATTATGTTAACAATTTTGTTCTTCCTTGTCTAAAATTACTCAAGTTTCCAGAGCTAATCCCTATTCATCCTCCTATAAAATAACATCAACATTTTACTACTCTTCTTCCCCTAACACCTCTTCCAACACCATCCCCCCCAACCATCTCTCATCAAGAAAATAAATGGGAAGAAAACATATATATATATAATTTTTAATACTTTAATTTATTTAAAAAAATAATTTTGTTGGCGTCAACTTTCCTTAACCTTTACCCTTCCCAGTACCAACAATTTTCAAAAGTCGTTAATTTCTCTCCTCTGTATTGTTGTCATAATTAATGGACATATCCTTACTATTTTTAACATTTTAAACAGTAGTATTATAAAAGAGTAAATTTACAAAACATAATTATGCAAATATTTTTCAGTGTTTTTCTTAATTTGTTGTGTCCATTGTTTTAGCTAATGTATAGGGTAATATAATTTCTATTTAATAAAAAACTATGTAAATTTCAAGGTATATTAGAGATGGAAATATTTCAAGGTCAATTAATATTTAAAGTTTAAAGAATACTTAAAAAACAAAAATTAAATAGATTATACCAAACAGTTTTGATTTCTTTTGATACTTAGATCACAAGAAAATAAAAAAGTATTTGCTCACAAAAACAAAAAAAACATGTTACTTTAAAAAAAAGGCGTTGATTTTATTTAAATCGCAACTCTATGCATTTGTAACCAAATGATATGAAAACAGCATTAACAACTAATGTCATGACATAACTGGCAACATTGTTTTAACATTTTAACAACCTATGTGTGCAAACTGATTTTTATTTTATTCATTTTTATCAATTTTACCAAAATTAAATAGACTATACCAAACAGTTTTGATTTCTTTTGATACTTAGATCACAAGAAAATAAAAAAGTATTTTCTCACAGTAGGTGTTATTATTAATAGCCCATATAATAGTCTATTTCTACAAAATAATTTTAACATAAATCACTGACGATCATTTTTCAAACAATTTGGCTTAATTGTGCAAATTTATTTAATATTTCAATTTGAATAAACATTCTTTAGACAAATACTACAAATGTAAGAAAGTTAAGTAATATAAAGTTGAGTACATGCTAATATCAAAATAATATCAACAAATCTGTAAAAAAATTATCTACACTAAAAAAATAACAAATTTACTCACATCCATTTCCGGTTTTAATTCTGAGATCTTCGATAGAAACATTTCCATGGTTATACCATGGGTCTCCACTATAGACTTTGACATTTTCGAATGACTGTGGCTTTGTATTTATAATGCTAAAAATTTTTATTCCATTTAAATATACTTTATAAAAATAAGTTCCATTTGTTTGAGTTTGCATTATTTGCAAACTTGACCACTCATAAAGTGGTATTTTTTCAGTATTAGTTCCATAGTTATATTCTCCATTAACAGCAGAACCAATATGCACTTCTCCATTTTCAAACAAAAATACTCCTGGAGTTCTCTCTCCATAATATCCAACATCATTACGGTTAGTCATATGGATAAGACATTGAAGACCAAAATACCATGGTTTTATCTTAAAATAAACTGAATATTCTTTTTCCAACATTGGCAACGTTGCAATCAAGTTATTCGCCCTCACTCTACGCTCATCAGGATCAAATAGAATATCTAAACAAACATTGTTTGTGATAAGTATAAAAAATTTAAAAAATTATGAGATAATCCTGATGTAAATATATCACAAAGGTATTTTTAAGAGTTAAAAGATATAATTATTTGTACTATGGTATTAGCAATAAAAACCATCTTCATTAGGTTACTTTGAAATACTTTTTATAATTTTAACTGTAGAGCTATAAAAAAAATATGAGCCATAAAAAACAGTTAAAAAGTATCCTTATGCAATTAAAAAATAAGAAAGTATTTAATAGATATAGTTTTATAACTAAAAAATATTGATATTATCTAAAATATAGTAAATACATACTAAATGTCAAAAGAGTATCCAGTATGCTATCCCTCTTACCCATAACGTTTTTTGTGAGAGAGAAAGAGACAAGAGAAAATGATATGTGATATAAAAAATATATATTTCTGCGTTTAACATTTTAACTAATAATTGACAGAATTGCGTTTCATTAATTGAAATATAAAATTTTGTTTTTTAAATTTATTTCTAAATTTATTTTGTTCTTATTTATTAAATTTTTTTTATTTAATTATTATTTAATTTTTTTTAGTTATTTTTTTTTTTGGTTAGTTATTTTTTACTACAAGACTCTCAACTTTATATTTCTGAAATACAAACAATGATAGATTCTGAAGGCAAAAAACTTTTTGATGAAATAAACATTTAAGTAATTACATATACTTGAGGTTCTTTCTACTTTTTTTTTAAAAAGCAGAAAATGAGTATAATATATAACTCAAAAATTAAAAATTTTGTCTGTTAATACTGTTAATACTATAATACCTGTTAATATTATTGCAATCATTGTAATGGTAGTATTAAAACAATATTCCGTTATAAAATGCAATTTAACTTATTGCCAATAAAAAAAGCATCCTGTTGCAAATGAAGTTTTTTATTCCTAATGGCATTATAATAAGCTGTCCAACCTCAAGTGTAAAATAATTTAAGAAAGTTGTCCTTGCCAGAAAAGTTGGTTACTGTTATGACAAAACACATAAATTAAACCGGTATGTAGTTAGTGTATATATACATATAGTTCTATAAAATTTCTTTAAACATAAGAAATTTTTCTATTTTTAATTTATAAATAAAATGTTTGTTTTTTTATTTTTTTTTACTGCATATCATGCGCAAGTGTTGCTACATCGACTATCTTATAGCATGACCCGAAACATAAAATTTTTAGGGTTTTTGAATAGGGAATATTTTTTCCAAAATATTATTATAATGTATTACATTATATATATATATATATATATATATATATATATATATATATATATATATATATATATATATATATATATATATATATATATTTAATTTTAATTACCCAAATATTATATGGAAAAAAAATAATTTTCAAACCATGAAAAAATATGATAAATACTCCACCAAATTTGTTGAATATATAAATGACAACTACTTACATCAAGCAGTTATGTCACCTACATATAATGCAGATTTAATTAATGGTAATATCTTAGATTTAATTTTAACAGAAACACCTGAACGTATAAATAAAATCCATCATAACCCAATTTAGGCAACACTAGAAATGGACACCAAATACTTAGCTGGAAATTTTTTTTTAAAAACACTACTAAAAAGGAAATGTCTAACTATGGGAAATCTGGATTTAACTATAAACTTGGTAATTACTCAGTCATAAATAAAGCTATCAATGAAAATGATTGGGAAAGTCGTTTTGGAAAAAATTGTATTGATGAGTGCTATGAAATATTCTTAAATATCTATGATAAATTATGCAACAAATATACTCCTAAAAAAAAATATACTTCAATAAACAACCACAGCTCAAACCTTTGATTGATAGAGAAGCAAAAAAAGCAATAAGAAAAAAAAACAAGTTTATAACACTAACTATTATCTAATGGTTTTAAATGTGACCAGCTGAAAGTCCAATATATTTTAATCAACAAAACAATAAAAAGTCTTATTAAAACAAAAAGAATAAATTATGAAAAAAAAATAACTGACTCATCGAAAGAAAATCCAAAACTGTTTTATGGATATGTTAATTCAAACAGAAAAATAAAATTAGGCATTAATATAATAACAGATAAAAATGGTTCTTTACAAACAAATCGTGATGATATTGCTAATATCCTCAATGAAAACTTTCACTCAGTATTTGTTATAGAAGATCCAACAAATTTTCCTAATATTGCATTAAAAACAAGCAAGACTTTAGAATTAGATATAGACTCAATAACAACTCAAGACATCGTTAGAATTAAACTAAGTGAACTAATTGTTATTAAAGCATTAGGAGCAGATGGTTTAAGTTCATATGTGTTAAAAAATTGTCAAAATAGTTTTTGCAAACCTCTAGAGTTACTATTCAAAAGATCTTTACAAGAAGAACAAATTCCACTCATATGGAAAATGGCTAATGTAACACCACTACACAAGAATGGAGATAAAAATAATCCTGCAAACTATAGACCATTTTCATTAACGTCAATACCATGCAAAATTCTAGAATCAATCTTAGGTAACAAAGTAATGGATTACATATTAGAAAACAATTTATTAAATAGTAACCAACATGGTTTTCAAAAGTACAAAAGCTGTACTACTAATCTACTAGAAACACAAGATATTTTACTTGATGCTATTGAGAATGGCTGGTGTATTGATGTGTTGTATACAGATTTCTCAAAAGCTTTTGATAAAGTACCTCATATGCGATTGATGTCAAAGTTAATATCATATGGTATTGTTGAAGTAATTCTAAAATGGATACAAGCCTATTTACATAATAAAAAGCAACGAGTAATTTTAGGGGATTGTGTATCAAAATGGCTAACAGTTGAGAGTGGAGTTCCACAAGGTTCTGTACTTGGGCCTCTTCTGTTTCTTATTTTTATAAACGATCTGCCAGACACATTAGAAATTAATATTATATTGTATGCAGATGATAGCAAAATTATATAAATATTTTTAAATAAGATGAAGATATCCGTATAAACAAATTACAACTAGATATTGACAATGTTATGAAATGGTCAACACTATGGTCAATGAAATTTAACTATGAAAAGTGTAAAATTATGCACATTGGTTTTGAACATTGAATAAGTTATACAAAAATCTTTGTATAACTTATTCAATGTTCGACGCTGAAACTCAACATAACAATATATTAGCAGCATCAAAAGTAGAACGTGATTTAGGAGTAATGATGCAATCTAATTTAAAATGGACTAGTCTTATTGATAAAGCTGTTGGTAAATCAAATGCTTGCTCTTATTAAACGAACTTTTAAATATTTCGACTCAAAAATGACAAAAAAATTATATACAACTTTTGTAAGACCGCATCTTGAGTTTGTAATCCAAGCATGGTGCCCTTATCTGAAGCAAGACATCTTAAAGTTAGAAAAAGTACAGAGAAGGGCAACAAAACTCGTACCAGCTTTAAAAAAAAAGCCATATAAAAAAAGATTACAGTTTAAGAGAAGATCTAATTTTTTTATATAATAATAATAATTTTATAAAATAAAAAACGGTTATGAGAAAATAAATTGGATAAACGATTTGACATCTCAAATTCAAATAAAACCTTACAATTTTCGTAGTCATAACCAAAAGTTAATAAAGGCATATTGTAAGAGCAATTATAGATATAATTTCATTTCCTGTAGAGTCGTAAATGCTTGGAATGGTTTACCACCATATATTATCGAAACAATGACTGTTGACCAGTTCAAAAATAAACTTGATAAATTATATTACTGCAAAAATTATTAAATAAATAATAAATAATATCTATATACATTGAAAAATAAAACAATGCAATTATTAAACATATATAGCTGTTATAGCACAACATCTTCTGTTGTTGTGCTCCACAATTAACTTCATCAGTTGCCACAGTGTACATTATTGCTATTATTATTATTATTATCATTATAATTATTATTATTATTATTATTATTATTACTTTTATTATATATTTATATATTATA